TTTATAGCTAAGTGGATGCACATTGAGGACATACTCTTAAGTGAAATAAGCAGGACACACGTGTATAGCTTCTCTGGTGTGAAAAACTGAAAACGTAAATAGGGATCAAAATGTAAACTGATACTGTTTAATAGGAAGAAAATGTCTAAAGGAGTAGGGGAAGTGGGAGGGATAGGGGACAGGAAAGAAGGGACAAGAAAAAATATGAGAAAAGGAAAAACATATTAACAAAGTCTTTGTAGGTAGGGAAGGATGGAGGGGGTAAAGGGAGGGCAGGGGAATGGGGAAAAAATAAGAACCAAGATACATCATGTAAAGGTACAAGATCTTAATGACAAATCTAACTGTACTGTTTACCTAAAATGTACCAATAAACTTAGTGGAAAAAAAATAAAATAAAATAAAATAAACCCTGCAAAAAAATAATAAATTTGTCTCCTACTCTCCATTTTTGTTTTTATCATGTGACTTTTTAATCATGTGATTTTTCTATTTCTAACTCAACCTTTGAAAAGCAGTTTAAAACCATAAAGCAAAAACCTGTTTTATATATACATGAATACATATTTTAGATACAAATTTTTGGATATATTTAATATTTAAAATTCTGACCACAATGTTAAACAGAAATTTTACTGACATTATTATTAAAACTCTTCTATGGCTCTAGGTAACAGTCTTTATACTTTTTATTTTAAAGGTTCATGTGCACTTTTATAATCAAAACGCAATTTATTAAAATTTAAGAGGCCAGGGCCAGGGATTTAGCTCAATAGTTTCACCATCTGTCGCTAAAACGCAAGGACCTAGTTCAATCCCCGGTAACCAAAAATAAGTAAATAAAAATAAAATTTAAGAGGCCAAGCATAGTGACATACACCTGTAATCCCAGCACTTGGGAGGCTGAGGCAGGAGGATTGCCATGAGTTCGAGGCCAGACTGGGCTACATAGTGCATTCAAGGCCAGCATGAACTTCACAGCAAGACCCTGTTTCAAAAAAATTAATAAATTTTTTAAAATAATAAAATTTAAGATACCTGTATCCTATGACCTAGCAATTCTATATCTTAGAAAACTATTTGTACATCTACAAAAAAGATAAAAGCATTATATCCTTTTTTTTTCCAGGGGTACTAGAGGTCAGACCCAGGGACTCACACATGCCGGGCAAGCACTTTCCTAGTTAGCTATATACTTCCAGCCCATGGAAGCAGTATACAGTAGCTTGTAACAAAGATTAGAAACTAAGAAAATTATTGAGTAAGCTATAATATATTCAAATTTTATAATATCATACAATAAATGGAAAAAACACCAAAGAAAAATTTGCACAATATATTACAGAGTAAATGCAGGTCACAAAACAGTGTAGCATTTTTTTATTTATTCACACCTATGTGCACAAACATACACATTGTACATTTGGATAAACGTATAGTTAAATAACTATACAGAAATGGATCTGTAAAGAATATCCAAACTATTAACTGTAGAAACTTTGAGGAAAGACTAATATTAGGAAAGATAAACAGGAAATGTATTTTATTTGAATTGTCCAGCAAAACAATTACAACGTAGTACCACACTACTGAGGCAATTTTAATTAAAATTTGAAAGATCATTCTCTAGTAACTATTTCCTATGGGAAGATGAACAGAAATTTCTATAATGTGACCCATAACAACTCTAAAATTCAATGGAATTCTTTCTACACGTGAAGCTGTAGGATAGAAAACATTTATGAAGGGCCAATTTAATATCTGATCTATGATAACCACTTCATACATGCCATCCCATTTAATTCTATCATTATTAGAGGCAAGAGTGAAAGGTAGGTCTGCCAAACTCTAAAGTTTTAAGTTCTTTCCAAGACACATATATGCCATCTTGGAAAAGAGATGAAGAATTAACTGTGAAGTCAAAGAAAACAGAATGTTTCTATTGATTCCCTTAAAAAAAAATTTAGTGATTTTTTTCAATCCACTTCCACCTCAATACAGTAAAAGTTATCTTAGCTACTATCAAAAGAATAAAGTATTGTGAGAATAAGGTTAAAATGAAGTATCAAAGTTCTCACCATCAAAAAGGATTTACCATGGTATCACATTGAGACAATCATAATTAAGGAGCAAATGACTATATAAAACATGTTATACACATAAATTTCTGAATTACATAGTTCTAAAAGGAATGACCACAAACAGGAGAGAACCTAAACACACTGATTAGAACCAAAAGTAATTAGCCGGGTGTGGTGGCACATGCCTGTAATCCCAGCACTCAGGAGGCTGAGGCAGGAGGATGCTCTGAGTCCGAGACCAGCCTGGACTATTGAGTTCCAGGTCAGTGTCAAGTACATAGTGAGACCCTGTCTCAAAAAAACAAACAAACAAAAAAAGTAACCCTTTTTTTGTTCACTACTTTTGGTTTGTTTTTTGCTTGTTTGTTTGTTTGTTTTTGTTTCTTTGAGACATGGTCTCACTATGTACTTGACACTGACCTGGAACTCACTATGTAGCCCAGGTTGGTCTCAAACTCACAGCGATCCTCCTGCCTCAGCCTCCCAGTGCTGGGATTACAGGCGTGCGCCACCACACCCAGCAAAAAGGGGCTACATTTTAAAACCTTTGATATCATCCTAGAAATTACTTCTAGAAGAGATTTAAAATTGGGCTTGGTGGTACACACCTGTAATCCTAGCATTCAGGAGGCTGAGGCAGAATAATTGCCACAGAACAGTGAATTCAAGGCCAGCCTGAACTACACAGTGAGGCCCTTCCTCAGAAATAAAGGCAGGGTTTCGGGAGGCCAAGGTTTAAACTCTCACTATATATACACACAAAGGGATGAGCAACTAAAAAATACAATGTTGTTATAGTGCGTTTATATACAGTTAAAGTCTCTAATGGAAATTTTAAAACTAATCTGAAGAATTAAGGCCAAAACAAAAATAACTGTCACTTCTTCCCAAGACAGAGAACAAAGTATCTATTTTGAAGATTGGTTTGCTATGTGCCCAGAAATCACATTCAATTAGTTACCAAGTCTGTTCTATACCTGCTAAAATAACATGAAAGTTCTTACTTATGATATATAAATATAAAATTATATATTTATTTTGTTCTAAATTAAAATGTTTAAATACTGTATTCTGTACGATCACTAAAATATTGTATTAGGCAATCATTTTCTAAACTTTCTATTGGCAATAGATAACAGGCTCCTGTCCTAGCTAGGTGGCTTTAGTCAAGCAAAAGTACCTACATACCCATTCATACTTCACTCCTCATTTTCCCAGAGCTCACCTTTTGATATGTTATTTTTGCTCCCCACCAATGCACTTATAGCAATAAAGCAGTATAAAATCACATCCATTAATAACTGCTTTCTTCTTTGGCATATGAACAATTATCATTCTTACTGCCACCATTCCCCTCCCCTGCTTCCAAATGAAATTGCTATGGTTTTAACTAATACAATGTTTATATGTTTTTGGAGGGTTGGGAGGGTTGTTATGTTTCGTTTATTTTTTAACACAGGGTCTTGCTCTGCAGTTCGGGCTGGCCTTGAACTATGTAGCCCAGGCTGGCCTTAAACTCACATGATCCTCCTGCCTCAGCCTCCCCAATACTGGGATCACAAGTGTGCACTACTACATCTGGCTTTGTTTTGGAAAGTCATTATTTTAAATATGAATAAATTCTCCACATTTGCCATTATACCAATATTGTTTTTAGAAGTTAATTTGGGGGGAAGGGGTGGTTGAATCCAAGATCTTTTCAATGAGCTATATATACTCAGTCTTTTTTTTATTATTATTATTATTTTGAGTCCAAGTCTTACTAAAATGCTCAACTGCCCAGGCTGGGCTCAAGCCTTCAATCTTCCTGCCTCACAGCCTCCCAGAGTGCTGAGATTATAGGTGTGTGCCACCACTCCCAGCTTTACAACTAACAATTTAAAAAGAAAAACAAAAATTCAAACTAATCATTTATGCCAGTTTTTAAATACTTCTATTTCTTTAACAAACACATATAGTGCTTACAATATGCCAAGTACCGCTGCTCTAAATGTTTAATATATTAACTCATTCAATCTTCCTACTATTCCCATGAAATAAATAATGTTATTATCTCCATTTTACAGATAAGGAAATTTGAGAGAAGTTAAAATACTTGCCCAAGGACACACTAGTAGGAACCAGACTTCAAACTTCAGCAGCCTAACTTCAGAGTCAATTTCCTAAGCAGTACACTAAACTGCCTCTCCATCCAATGAAAACTCTTTAGAACTGTTCAAGACTCCATAAAATGCTGCATTTTGTGGGAGACTTTGTGAGGGGGAAGGGAAAATACTAATATAAAATGTAAATTTTAAGACATTAAATCACAAAACTGCCACAAACATCCTTGCAAACAGTTATATTTGACTTAGTTTATATGATCAACTCAAAATGGGTTCAAAAGATTTGCCCGTTTAAATGTAACTTTTTACTTCAACTATTAAAGATATTAAATGGAATATGACACTGAAGTTTTATAAGCATCAAAATCATAATTTTGTCTTATAAATTATATACTAAAATATAAGAATGTGTTTCAAATTATTCTTTTTAAAATAATCTTTGACCCATAAGATATAACTATTATGAAATGAGAAACACTGTCACATTCATATTCTCTTAATAATTTATCCTAGACAATTTTTTAAACAATTTCAATATACATATGAAAATTATTTGGATAAATTTGGAGATATTTTCCTAGGACAAATCTCTACCTCCCACTTCTAAACTTTAAAAAAAGAAGTAAAAAATCTAGTTGAAGTTCTTGTCCTGTCGCCCAGTAACTATGTGATACAGGATTCTCAGAAGCCCCTGGACATTGGGTGTTCTTGTATATTGGAGTGAGGAACTTAAACTACAGAATATCTTCAAGTCTTTACAGTCCTATAACTTTTTAAATTCTATTTTTTTTAAGTTTTAAACTTTAAATCTCACCTCATCTGAAGAATCTGCTTGTCCCAATGTTCCTGTTGCACCTGCAAAATCTTCAAATGGGAGAAAAGTAAGTTGTTCTTCATACCTTTATACACCGACTTACTTAAATTTATTGAAACATACAAAAATCAAAAAGCTAAGTTTTATTATATTAGACACTTCATTCTAACAATTATTTTGGCAAAGTTCAACATTTATAAATACATTTGGGCCTAATATGTTGATCCTTCAATAGGAAACCTCCAATGAAAACACAGATTTAATTCAGTAATTACAAATGGTATTTCATGGGGCCAGGGATTTAGCTCAGTGGTTCCACCACCTGCCTCACAAGCACAAGGACCCGAGTTCAATCCCCGGCACCAAAAAAAAAAAAAATGGTATTTCAAAAAGATGTCTTTCTTTTTATTTTAAACCATAAAGTAAAGTAAAACACTGAGCTAGTAAAACTGTGGGCTACTAGTGAATAGTAACTGCCACATTTCTATTCAGTTAGAACCAAAATCTTAAAAACTAACCAAATTCCATTAGGGAAAGTACATTTATTTCTTTGGTCAATCTGTTCTTTCTTCTAAATTTTTTACTCTTCTTTAAAAAGTGGCATTGTCTTAGCTGAAAATAAATTTGTTCAGTAATGCACAAAAATTCGGGGGATTTTTGTTTGTTTCTTTGTTTCTTTGTCTTACAGAAAAGTCACTACTGTTCCATTTAAATACTAAGACAAACCTTGAACAGCCAGAGTACTGGTACCAGCAGTTGGCTCCTGCATGCCATACACAAGCTTATCCTCAGGATATGTGAGTCCAGAGCTCTTCAAAGCTATAAGGTATTTTTCATGACTCTTCTTTGCACAAGCATTTTCTCCAAGACCTAATATTTAGAATAATTTAAAATCAGAAGAAATATTCCATTCAATATCTAAGCAAAATAATCTCATTAACTAATATACATAGATAAAATAGGTGAATATTCTAATGGAAGAGAAACTCTATAATAAAGAACATAAATAGTTTCAGTAACATTTTTATGCTTATGTTTGGTAGTAACCCAGAATGCACAGCATATTTATAATAAATATCTGAGAGACTATGTGCAAGACACAAAGGATACAAAGATTAGAAAGATGTGATCCAGCCTTCAGGGAACCTAAGAACCAGTGATAAAGAAAGGAGGCAGATAATATGGTAGATGCCAACAATGTAGCAGACTTCACCTTTGGTTTGACAATCTCTATTCTTCTAACACCAAGCATTCAGACTTATCCAAAGTAGAGTACTCAGGAAAGATAATACCTGAGTGAAATTTTCAAGTAGTGTACTACAAATGAAATTATTTTTAATTGCTGTTATTTGAGGTTTTTTGTTTCTGTGTATTTGAGACAGGATCTCACATGTAGTTCAGGTCAGCATATGTAGCCAAGGCTGGCCTCAAACTAACAGCAACCCTCCTACCTCAGCCTCCCAGTGCTAGAATTATAGGCATGCACCATCACACCCAGTCATTAATTCCTGTTTTTAATCAAGCTTTTTATTATATGCTTAACAGAGAAGAAATTAAAAGTATAATTTCTAATGAAATATTAGATAAGACAATTTGATTATCAAAATATTTTTGAACAGTTTAGGTTCTACAATTAAATAATTCTAAAATTTTAAGCATTTCAGCTTACTACTTATTGCTAATCTTTCTTTTGTTTTTAATATATTATATAGGAGGATAGTAAGAGAAAACAGGTTGATAATTGAGAATTCTTGAAAGGAAAAATTATTCTGTATGTAGAAGCTAAATTTCCATGGCATTTGCCACCTCTAGGTACTTTGGGAATCTCAAATTAAGTTCTGAATCTCTGATTATATAAATGTGTAAATGATTTTAATATTTGCTGCGCTTTTTTTCTTGATAGCATCAATACTAGCAACAGAATGATTAATTTTCAATCTTTGTCTGCCCTTGTTTAAAAAAATCCAACACAGATGAAATAAATGGGAATAGTACCCTCTTTCAATTCAAGGCCAATATTTAAAACAACCACAAGGCCAATATTAAAAACAACCACAATGACACAATATTAAAAACAACCACAAATTATGAAGAATAAAAAGACTAGGAGCTGAAAGTACAACTCAGTGATATAGCTTTTGATTGGCAAGTGTGAGGTCCTGAATTCTATCCCCAGCCCGCCCCCCCCACACATACACACAGAGGAGAAAAGAGGCAGCAGATGACAAAATTTCTCCTGGATAAACAAAGCTATGTACTGATCTCAATAATGACAGATATTCACCTAGCAAAATGTATTTTGTCAACCCCCCCACAATTCTGAGAAAAATGAATGCATTTTTTTCAAGCAAAGAAACTGAGGCTTAGAGCAATAACACAGATAGCCAGTGAGTATGCAAGAACAGTTGAAATGAAGCTAGACGTCTACACAAATATCAAACTTTTGAGTCAAAATCTGATTTGATTTCCATTGCTGAAAGCTAAATGAAGATTGTTGTTATTGTTTAGTTTCAAGAAATAAGAATTTTTTTCAAATTATAAAAATAAAAGAGGACAACTGCCACAAGTCATTCCTAAAATTTATGTTCCCACAACAGTTAAGAATGATCTGCTTGGCCTGTAATCCCAGCACTCGGGGAGGCTGAGGCAGGAGGATCGCTGTGAGTTCGAGACCAGACTGAGCTACATAGTGAGTTCCAGGTCAGTCTCACTACATAGTGAGACCCTGTCTCAAAAAACCAAAAAAAAAAAAAGAAAAAAAAGAACGATCTGCTTGATCTCCTTCTCAATAGTTCATGGTTTCTAAAACATTTTGTAGTATGAAGAAATAATAGATGTCCTGATATGATCTTTATCTCTCCAGCTTCATCACCAAAGCTCAAATAAAAGCCACCATTATTTTTATCCTAGACTGCTGCCTTTGAACTGCTTTTCCTGCTCCTTCCAATTTCTTCTTGGCGAAACAATAGGCCATCTGTTTGAATCATACATCTCATCATCTCACTCCTAAGGTTAAAATATTTCCATGACTTCCACTACATTTCAATTAAGATATAAAAACTGCCCATACTGGATCCTGGTCTGAATCTAGTACAATGGGGCAGTCGTGTTTGGGCCACTGTCCTTCTGGATTCATTTCACTTCACCACCTTCACCTTTTCAATCCCTTAGAAAGAAACTGAGTCATTCCCATCCATAAATATCTCCACCTGCAATCTAGGAGGTGAGTGTGTACTTTATCATGGCTTCAGTTCATTAAGTTTCTTGGATTTACAAATCAATGTTTTTCATCCAATTTGGGTGAATTCAGTCATCATTTCTTCAAATATGTGGGTCTCCAATAGCATGCTTGTTAGATCACCGGATTCTACTAGGCTGAGGCTCTGTTGTGTGTTTTTCAATCATTTTTATCTCGGTTCTCTAGATTTGATAATCTGTTGACCTACATTCAAATTCACTGGCTCCTATACCCTTATCCAACCACCTGCTAAGCCCATGGGATGAGATTTTCAATTGCATTATTGATATTACAAGAACTTTTAGTTCTAGAATTTTACTTTAGTTCTTTTTCTTTAATTTCTTTGCTAAGATTCCTTCTCTCTTCACTCAGTAACACTATATTTTCCTTTAATTCTTTGAATATATTTTTATTAGATGCTTTAATGTCTTTATTAAATCCAACATCTTGGCCTCTTTAGGTCAATTTCTAGTAGCTGTTTTTTTATAAATTATAGCAATACAGTTTTTGTTTTTGTTTGGTTTGGTTGTTGTTATTGACATTGTTGTTTACATCCACACAAGACAACCACTCTATCACTGAGCTACCACTTTAGGCCTTTTTTAAATTTTCTTTTGAGACAGGGTCTCATTAAACTGCCCAGGCTGGCCTTGAACCTGCAATCTTCTGCCTCACCCTCCAGAGTAGCTGGGATTATAGACATAGACTACCAGCTCTGCTCCAGTTTCTTTTTTCTTTACATGTCTCCTAGTTTTTATCATAAATGGAAAGTCTAATGATAAATTATATTAGATTCAAGATTGTTTCCTTCCTCTAAAGCCTAAATTTTATTCTGGAAGATTGTTCAATCATAAGTTGATTACTCATGAATGCTGAGTTACTTTGTAACAAACAGATCTGTAGGGAGTTTAATGTGTCCAAAAGACCCTCTATATTACAGGAATCACCTCCAAACTTTGCCTTTCTTGCACACAGTTAGGGTTATAGGCTTTTTTAAGACTGACCTAGACCAGACTTTATACTCTAAGATTTGGCCCTCTGGAGTCTCAGCTACATGACTGGGGTAACTGCAAGATCTCTCCAATCTGAATGGACCAAAACTCCAGCACTACTTGACTTCTAATATCTCCATTCAGTTTCTGACTCCATAGTAGTCACGCTCTGGCAAGCTTAGGAAGCCTCATACTGTACATAGGTAATCTAGTCCTCAGCCAACTAAATGTCTACACGGGTTCCTCTTCACATCCCAGTATTCTGCCCAATGATTCCAGCAACTTCAGCTGTCCTGTCCTGAAATCTCTACAGGACCAACACACTCTGCTACAATGCCAATTTGCCAGAATAAAGTTAGGAAGTGTTCCCAGAGAAATTGTGGAGCTCACATTTATTTTCTCACTCAAGAGTTTAATCTCATGCTGTTGTCCAATGCTTTAAAACAAGTGCCTCATCTTTTGTCCAGTCGTATGTTGTTTATGACATAAGGGCAAGTCTAATAGGCAGAAGCAGATGTCTTCTACTTAAAATTTAATCCCACCTCTTTACCACATAACTCCCCCCATTTTCTAGCTAAATGACTTATTCTCAACCACTATGTTTTATTTTAAATATTGCTTCCTAATAAATAATGAATTTAAAATTTAATTCATCACCTACCACACCATTGAAATCCAGCTCCCCTTTTTGTAACCACTTGTTCTGCACTTTCACTGCATTTACTACAGTTTCTAATTACACAACTTTTTGGTTTTAAGTTTTATTAATGTTATCTCACTTATTAGATCATAAGCTTTATAAGAACCAGGATAGGATCACATGGTATACTTCTAACTTTCCAAATAAGCCCAGAGTCAAGAGTATAATGAATGCTTAATAAGAATCTGATGAAAAAGTAAACATAATAGGTAAGACTATCTAACATATGGTAAATAACACACTTGAAAAAATTTGTGATTCTAAAGATACATGATAAACTTCAATTTTCAAAACATCCTGTTAGTACCAGTAAGAAAAAAACACAATTGAAAAAACTGATAAGGCTTTTAAATAATTGATACATTTACTGTTATATCACCTAGGCAGAATAAAGGTATTAAAACTATTTTTTTTAAAAAGACTATTTTCTACCACCTGCCTGGCAAGCACAAGGACCCCAGTTCAACCCCTGGCACAAAAAAAAAAAAAAAAAAACTATTTTCTAATATGTTATACCAGGTACACAAATATTCAACAATTTTAAGTTTTATACTTGAAACTCTGTATTATAAAATGCTCAGACATATAATTCTGAAGTTTAGAATACAAAAAAATAGACAAAAATGGTTACTGATTTAAAAGGGGGGTAAGAATATAATTATGAATGTCACAGCAAAAGATAAGGAGACCTGAGTTCTCCCACATAAATCAGTTGTAAGTTCTAAAGCAGTTCATTTAATTTTTCTGGAGCTAAGTTATCTCATCTGTAAAATAAAAATTTGTCCTAATCACTTCCAGATTTAGCATTCTATGGAAAATCTACATTTTACTCTTACATTCTAAAATACAATACTTTATTATAGTAATATGAATAAATTATAAATTCTTGTAACATTTTACTCACCAGAAGTTAGATCTTTGTAGTTCTGTTGGTTTGTCAAAACCTGAGTAAGAACAGACCTCATTGCTCCTCCCATTTTAGTTAAGTCTTCTAAAAAGGAAATTTGAGGTTCCAAAAGCTGAAGGACTTTGTTAAGGTCTTTTTCTGATGGTACATCAGCTGCTAAAAATTTTTAAAAAATACATATGCATTTATTTATATATAATATATAATTAAGGGTAAATTTCTTTTAAATACGTCACTTAGAATAATAAAATATTAGAGCCAGGTGTTGGGGGGCACACCTGTAATCCAGCTCTTAGGAGGCTGAGGCAAGATACTTAGAGCCCAGCCCAGGCTACACAGAACAATACTTTTTATTCTTTTAAAATTATAGTGGCTTAGATTATAAATATTTTATAATCAATAATCAAGTAAGTCAATATAAGTACTCTGTTTAGAAGACTGGTATTTTCCCAGCACTCAGACTATAGTAGACTTGCTCAAAAATTCAGTCCTCCAAAAAAAGTAGATAAGAAAAATAGGTCATTAGCATTTAATTGGAGTAAGAAGCATTAAGATCATGTATCCACTCCCAAGAAGACTGTAAACTGGGCTGGGGATGTAGCTCAGTGGTATTGTGCCTGCCTGGCAAGTGCAAGGTCATGAGTTCGATCCCTGATACCAGAAAAAAAAGAAGAAGAAGAAGACTATTAACTGTATGAATTGCAAACATGTACTAATAAAATTTTTAAATTATTTAAAAAACAAGAAGCATTTAGTTTGAGGTTGCAGGTCCTATACTTCCAGATACATAAAGGGGGCCATAAGATCATTTCAAAATAGAGAGTATTTAAGAGAAAGTTAAGGTCACACACAAAATTAAAAGAGACAGAATTCAAATGTATTGAGTGCAATGGAAGAATATTAAAACAAAATTATGTTGGCTCTAAATTTAAACTTGTAAGGCAAAAAATTCATCTTCTATCATACCCCAAAAACAGACTCATAGTAGCTGAAAGTCAAAAAAACTACTGTTTTTATAAATAAGAACAATTTTACTAAAACAAAAAAATACCAGCCAAGATATGCCCAGTATTGAGAGAGAAAAAAAAAAAACTTGGCTAGCAAATGAGAAAGGATATTAAAGATGAAAAAAAAAAAGAGAGAGAGAGAGAGATGTGTTTAGAAAAGCTGTGCTCTAAAAGGAGATGAATAAAGATTCGGAGCTTTATAGCCATAACTGATTAAAAGAATACAAAAAGTGAGCTAAGGAAGGGTCTGTATGCCTAGAAAAGGGGATATTAATTTCATTCATTTTTTTTTTCTTGAGACAGTTTCTCTATGTAGTTCAGGTTGGCCTCGAACTCACAGCAATCCTGCCTCAGCCTCCTCAGTGCTACAATTATCTCCCCGCCCAGCCTCATTCAACATTGACTCAGTGTCTAAAACCTTACTTTGAGCTGGGCATAATCCCAGCATTCAGGAGGCTGAGGCTGGAGGATCACCATGAGTTTGAGACCAGCCTGGGCTTAATAGGGAGACCTTGTCTCAAAAAAAAAAGAAATAATAATAATAAAGCTTACTTCTTCAGTGGAAAGCTAATGTTCTCTAAATACTATTCATTTTTACATTCTCCACAGGTCTTATGCAGTAACAAAATAGATGTTTAATGAATGCATGCTTTAACTTTCCAAGTGCTTCAACATAAGCTCCAACAATAGTATAAGGATTACAGGCAGAAATGAAAAAGCACCTGTGAGAGCATAAGACTTCTAAACTTCCATAGCCTTGGATTAATTTATAGTGATCTCTACACAAAGTAGAACAATGTGAGGAGTCTTCTGTTTTCTTTTGCACAAAGAGAAATTAATGCTAAGAAATTAATGAGAGAGAGAGGTAATAGAGGAAAATGTCATGAACTCATATTCATGAAACATCTTTAGGGGGAAAAATGCTTCTACTCATTCACTCATGTTTTCAGATAACGATAACAGTAATTATCACAGTTATGTATTTATGTTATCTACTTTTTTTACTAATAAATGTCAAAGGATAAAATTAATGTAACATACTTTTATTTTCCCAGACAGGGTCTCACCATGTAGCCCACGTGGACTTCTAATTCACAGCAATCCTCCTACTTCAGCCTCCCAAGTGCTGGGATTACAGGTGTGCACCACCACATCTATCTTGTAATATGCTTTTTGGGTGGGGGAGTATTGGGGATAGAACTTGGGACCTTGTGCCTGTGAGGCAAGCAGCAAAACCACTGAGCTAAATCCCTGGTCCCTATAATACATTTTTGTGTGAAGTATTATTTGATTAAACTAGTGGCAAAATATAAAGTTCTTACAACAAATGATTTCTACTATTTTCCTAAAATAGGACACTTGTAACACAAAATGTAAATTCAAAAAACATATCCTATTAACTAGTTTATAAGAAACAAAACACAAGTCAATGTTAACATCTCAGCTAGTTTCTGGTTCCTTCATTACAAAGAGACAGTAATTTGGCACCAAAATAGTTTTCTATATCTTAAGATATATATTCTAAGAGAAGCACTTAAAGGTTTTCATATTTGTACATAAAAAGTAGAGATAAGGAAGTATAATAATAGCTTGCTCATAATAAAAAAAACAAGGTAGTTTTAGGAATAATGAAGATGTTATACTGTCACACTTTAAATATGAGGACAAACAGAAGTTAAAAATGAATGCCACAGTTTCAAACTGATTAAATTGTAGCATTCAATAATTTTAAACAAAAACAATACACTCTCAGATGAAATTCATTAGAAATGTAAAAGATACCATTAAAAGTTAATAAATTTGTTTGATAGCCAGCTATGGTAATCAGCTATTGTATAATCCCAGCACTTGTTAGGCTGAGGCAAAAGGACTGCCAGTTCAAAGCAGGCCTGAGCTATATAGTGAGTTCAAGGACAGCCTAAGGTACATAGCAAAACCCTTTCTAAAAAGACAAAAAAAAAAAGAGGAAGGAGTAAGTTGGTTTCATACCACTAACTGATATCTAATTCACAATGTCAAACTGAAAATTTTAAAAGACCTAAATCCAAATATTTAAAGTGCATTATGATTAATCTTGAAAGGTAAAAAGAATATCAGTAATTTGAATGTTTCATCTCTTTAATACTACTATCATGATGCATATAACCATACATTTTACCCATAATATGAAAGTGAGCAATCTGACCCTATTTTAAGTTCTTATATAAAATATATAAACAGGAATAAAAATATATACAAGCTTCTATCAAAAGAAAAAAGATTAGGACAATAATAGTTTATCTTCTAAAAAATCTAAATTAAATTCAAACATTTCCAGAGATTCTCAATTTCTGCTTCATATAACAAATTAAGTCACTTTAACCTCATAAGATGAATAACTTCCTCATCTGTAAAAAGTCAAGTAAGTCTGAAGTTTGGTCAAAAACATCCACGACTCTAGAGGCAGAATGCAACAAATCATGTCTACTACAAGGTATCTATCAAGTTTTATCATTTATTTTAGTGTATTTTTATTGAGTTTCTATATTTTATAGCCATCTCTTTTACAATGCTAAGCACACACATATACATACATATATATGATGTATACAAAACTTCACCTCATTATTAATGTTAATGCTAAAGATTTGGGAATTGGGAACTTAAAAGGGATATTCACAAGGAGTTGATTAAAACATACCTGGTTCATTATAGCCTTCTCTTAAGTACTGAATAAGGCAAAAAATAAATCGTGGGAGAACAAATTCAGACATCATCAGTAAGTCTTTGGGAACACAGGGGATATTTGAACTGGATTTAATTTGATGCCTTTTGCAAAACCTGTACGGAAAAAGAAAATTTTAAAAAAGAAATCAACAGAAATGTCCAACTAGCCAAGAATATATTACTTCTATTTACAGCATTCATAAACAAAATATAGACCAATATCAAAGCCAATATAATCTTTTATTATTTTTAAAGCACTAAGTTAAAAGAATATAGTTTTAATGGGTCTTTATAAAAAGAAAAAAAGATGGCACTCAGGGAGATTTTTCCTAACAGAAGAACATACTAGCTAGCTTCCAACTAGAATACAAAATGAAAATCTTATTACAAGATTTATATTTTTAACTGCAATTTATTACTTTCAAGTACTATGTTACTACTTTTACCCTTTATAAACCACTAAGTACAAATTGATCATTTCCAAAGAATTTACATTTTCCATTTAACTATTTCTAATATACTGCATTAATCCATAAATGATATAAATATTTAAAAAGAAAAAAAGTTCCCCAAGCTTAACATCATTAGATTTAAATCCCAATGAAATTAATCACAAAGTAATTCTAAAGTTCAAGTGGAAGAGCATATGTGTGAAAAATATAAGCAACTCTTAAAAAGATGATTGATGATAAAGAGCCTGCAAATACAGTACAAAACTATTTTAATTAAAACGCTGATAATCTAAGAACATCAACAGACCCAATGGAGTCCAGGAAAAAATATACATAAATTTGTAGCATCTCAATTCAAAGCAGTGGGCAGAAAACTTTTAGTAAACTCCTTCAGGACAAACTGATTATTTAAAACAGGAAGTAAATTTGATTCTTATCTTACACTATACACAAAATATATCCCAAATAGATTTAAAATCAAATATGAAGAAAAAAAAACAGTTTTTGTTTTTGTTTCTCCAATACTGGAGATGGAACTCAGGGCCTCACACTTATACTGAGCTAAATCCCCAGCCTTTTTTTGTTTTGTTTTGTTAAGAGTCTTGGCTGTGGGTGTAGCTCAAAAATACTGTGCTTAGGATATATAAGGCCCTGGGTTCACTCCCTGGTATCCCCCCGCCGCCAAAAAAAAAGACAGTATCTCACTAAATTCCCTGAACTGACTTCCAAATTGTGATTCTCCTGCCTCAACCTACCCAGTAGCTAGGATTGCAAGTGTGTACCACCACATCTGGCATGATGAAATGGTCTTATCAAACAGTTTAACTTGAATGACACCAAGTCTTTAGGGCTAAGTTCATTTATAAGAAGTGAGATAAAGGAACAAGTTAAATGAGCCCCAACATACAAACACACACACACACACACACACACACACAAAATAGAAAGAAAAAAAGAGGCAAAACTAGAATGTGGGACATAAACCTGGCATCGTGGTACACACCTATAATCCCAGCATTCAAGCCCAGCATGGGCAACTTAATGAGACTCTGTCTCAAAATGAAAAATTTTAAAAAGGGATAGGAATGTAACTCAAGGTGAAAGCCCTGGTTTCAATTCTCAGAACCACCATAACCACCAAGAAACAGTAGGACATTATTTACAAGACAGCTGACTCCATTTCTGTAACCTGGCAAGAGTATGGGAATAAAGTGGGTAGGGAGCAACTCTAGGATAACAGGGACTTGAGATACCCAATGATCACATGTAATATATGAACCAGTTTTAAGAAACCACCTTTAAAAAGCATTTTTTAGACAGATCTGATCATAAACTGGGCATTATTAGCTCATTGCTGCTAATTTTACTAGGTATAATTGCATTGTGGTTACATAAGAAAATATGGCTATTTGATGACATTACAAGTATTGATGACAGTAAATAATGCTAAACACTGTAATTGGTATTGAATAGGAGAAGTCCTTGTCTTTTAGATTATATAGAGAGAGATATTTATAGATGAAATGCTGTATGGGACTTGTTTCCAAAACATGTGATGGAGTAAAGAGAAGTAAAACTATACCAACATCAGATATGAATTACTAAGTGCTGAAAACAGGACATATCAGATTTAATTTACATTAATCAAAACCAGCAAAGTATTCAAATCTGATTTTGAAGGCACCAATTTAAAAGAATATAGTTTAAATTTGTCTTTAAGTAAAAAATGGCACTACAGGAGTTTTCCCCTAAAATAGCCCATACTAGTTTAGTTCCTTAGGTTCACTGCTTTTATGAACGTTGTAATAAAAAACTAAAAATTGTTAAACAAAAAATACCCATAATTTCAACAGATGAATACTGAAGTATTCCAGGGTGAAATGACATGAACCGAGGATTTGCTTTAAATATTTTACCAAAAGAAAAAAAAAAGCCATTGAAGTAGACGAGACTAAAGTCTTGATAAAATGTTGACTTTGGTAATGACTATTAAATCAACGTCCTACTTTCTTTACCTTTGTGCATGTTTGAAATCTTTTATAAACATAAGATTGCCTTTTACAGCTTATAGGCTAATTTGCTGCTATAAAGCACGTTCAGAAATTTTTATTATATACACAGAAGTATAATCTGGTTTGCTGAGACTTTAACACTATTTCTTAAATTTTTAAGTAGTCACAGCTGGGCCTGGTGGCAAAGATCTGTAATCCTAGCACTCTGGGAGGTTGAGGAAAGAGAATCAAAACTTCAGACCCAGCCTCACCAATTTAGCAACCAAGACCATGCCTCAAAATTTAGGCAGGAGGACTGCTGCGATTTACAGGCCACCCTGGGCTACATACTGAGTTTAAGGCCAGCATGAATCAGACCAAGACCCCATCTCAAAAAAAAAAAGAAACTAAAATTAAATAAACATTTAAAAAATTTTAAAGTTTTCAATGTAAATGTTCATAGCACTAACTTAATATTTCTATTTCTAGAAATTTATAATTCAGAAATACTTCTACATTTGCAAAAAATATATATACAAAAAAGATGTTGATTATATTAGTTTGCAATGTGCAGAAATTAAAAACAATTATTCACTAATTCATTAATAAAAATATGTTAACACTGAGATTCCACCTCACCCCACAAAGAATGGCTGCTATCAAGAAATCACACAATAACAAATGTTGGCGGGGTTGTGGGGAGAAAGGAACCCTTCTCCATTGTTGGTGGGAGTGCAGACTAGTGCAACCACTATGGAAATCAATATGGAGATACCTCAAAGAGCTTGGACTGGAGGTTCCATTTGACCCAGCCATCCCTCTGCTGGGTATCTTTCCAAGAGAACTAAAAGAATCATATCACAGAGAAGTATGTGCACCCATGTTTATAGCAGCACAGTTTGTAATAGCTAAATCTTGGAAACAGCCTATTTGCCCATCCGTTGGAAACTGGATAAAGAAGTTGTGGTTTTTCTATAAAATGGAATATTACTCAGCCATAAAGAATGAGAAAATAGATTCATTCATAGGAAAATGGATACATATTGAAGATATACTCCTAAGTGAAATAAATAAGTCACACATGTGTAAATACCGAATAGTTTCCCTGGTGTAAATAATCTGCAACAATGCATAAGATTCTAATAAGATTACTGACATTTAGAAATGGGAACAAAGGAGCTAAAAGTGTAGGGAAGGTGGGATGGGTAGGGGAAGAGTAAAAAGGGAAAAGAAAAAAAATGTGAGATAATGAAAAGATGAAAATAAAGTGTTTGTAGATGGGGAGGGGAGGAGGGGGTGAAGGGAGGGCAGAGGTAAGGGGAAAAAATGAGAATCAAGACTTCTCATGTAGAGGTACAAGATCCCAACAATGAATGTAACTGTACTGTATCCCTAAAATGTACCAATAAACTCAATTAAAGCTGAAAAAAAAAAAATAAAAATCAAAGTATGTTAAACTATGACAGATCCACAAATGTTTGCATTTGTTTAATAAAAAATTAAGACCAATAAGCATGGGAGTATCTAAGACAAACTGATAAAAGAGTTGTATAGTAGCATATAGATTATATATTTTAAAAAGAAAACATTAATATAAGAAAAACATATTCCAATTTTCACAGAAATTGATTGGCATATAGCATTTTTTCACCTACATTAATTCTACCCATATTTGACTTTTGTATAACATATGGATAACTTTTTAATTGACAAAAAAAATTTAAACCAAAAAATAGTAAGTAATGCCATACATGCTGCTTTAATTCCACAATTTAAATCATTTACTTTACCCGTTTTTTAGTTCATGAACCTCTTTGAGAATGGAAGTCATAATTCCTTAAGAAAAAAAAAAAGACACATACAAAAGACAATTCAGAGTATTCACACAAAAAAGACACTATTCAGAGTATACACACTGCTGCAGTCTACCAACCCATAGGAGCTCCCATTTGCAAGGTCATAGATTACACTGCAGGGATAGAGGCTCCTCAGTCCTTAAGACAGACAGAGGAGCAGGACCTGAGCAGCTTCCATACTGCTTTTGCATCCCACCCCAGTATCACATCCACATCTACCACACTAAAAGTTTAGGAAGCATTATGCCTTAAGGTCCAAATCTTGACTTAAATGGAAATTAAGAACTTCCACTTGAAGAACATAATAGCTAAATAAAATCGAGGAAAACTTTTAAATTGCTGTTGTTTCTATAAAAGTTTCTGAAAATAAAGTAGAACTTGCCCATAGGATAGTTTAAGAGAGCCAGTGGTTGGTCATTCAAGAGATGCAGATGAAAACAGAGATTCCACCTCATCCCAGAAAGAATGGCAGCTATCAAGAAATTAATCAATAACAAATGCTGGTGGGGCAGTGGGGATAAAGGAACTCTTCTCCATTGTTGGTGGGAGTGTAGACTGCTGCAACCACTATGGAAATCAATATGGAGATGCCTCAAAAAGCTAGGATTAGAGGTCCCACTTGACCCAGCTATCCCTTTTCTGGGTATCTTTCCAAAAGAATTAAAACAATCATACCACAGCAAATATATATTCACCCATGTTAATAGCGGCACAGTTTGTAATGGCTAAAACTTGGAAACAACCCAATTGTCCATCAACTGGAGACGGGATAAAGATGTGGTTTTCTATAAAATGGAGTACTACTCAGCCACAAA